AAAACCACTAAAAGAAATTTAAAACTCGAATCTTTTCCAGACAAAGAACCAGAAAGATACAAAACAAGAGCATGTCCTTTAGATAAACATATAGCACTAGAATCACATGCATATCCATCTGTGCAGAATGGAATTTCCAGCATTACCACTTGCCACAATGCCCCACCACACCAACAAACACTACTTCCTGCTACTATTTTTGTTACTCAACTCCAGAAGAGCATTGAGGCAGAGAAGAAGAGGATTGCGAGAACGGAGAGCAAGCTAGAGATGTGAAGCCTAACACCATCGCTATAATCTGTGTTGATGCCGGAAGGGCCTAAGCCATTGCCAACTCCTCCCAATACTCCAGTGGGTGTTGCCGAGAATGGAGTATTGTTGGTTGGATTCACGCCGTTGGTTGGATTAGTGGTCGATGGATTAGTGGTTGTAGATGGGTTTGTAGTGGTGATAGGAGTGCCTGCCGCACTGAACCAACAAAAGAAAAGCGAGAGTCACCAAACTATTACAGAAAATTGAAATACATGAACACATAGAAGTTCAGGAAAACAACACATCAAAGTTGAAAGCCACCAGTTGCAATTAAGAATCTATCCATGAATTCAAAAAGACTAAAGGTTGTATGTTATTCATAAAATAAACATCACCTCGTTCAGAATGTAATACGAATTGCATTTTCATTTGGTAAAAGGATAATTATGACGGGCATGATACTGCTCAGAGCCAGAAACAACTTGAACTCAAACATTAGTTTGCTATGTCCCAAAGGGGCTGAAATCGCACTTGCAGGGTTAACAGAAAAGAAATTTGCTATGACTTTTAGAGCGGCAACTTAGGTTATGATTGAACCAAATGACAATTTTTTGTCAAATTAAACTAAAATACACATTTAATTCAACTAGGAGAGGATAAAAAACCTATAAAATGACAAAAAATTACCTCCAAAGGAATTTCGTCTGAAATTTAAATAATTTCATTCTCCTAATTCAAGTACAGATTTCCAAATATATTTCAAAAAATTGTTTATTTGTTCCAAACATGACCTTAAATTGTCAATTTCTGATTTTTGTTTGTCTTTGAAGATCAGACTTGTTAAAGATCACTATAACACTAACCACACTGGTCAGGAGTTTCATTCTCAAGTCACTCAAAGCGGCTTAAGTCACTTAACCAATATGATTTTCCAACTTGATATTCGTAAGTTGTTATTCAAAGCTACAACCAGGTGCTTTAACAGACAAGTAAAAAAGATTTATCTGACAGTACTCATATGCAATCTTGGGAAGAAGAAGCAGCCACATAAAAATGTCAAAGCTGTAAGGGAGAGAAGATTAAAAAATATATTATTTTATTTTTTAAGGGCTGTGATTTTTTTCAGAGAATCCAAAGGTGGATAATTATGAAGGAATTTTACCTCAGATGAACCAAACGTTACAGGAGATTGACAGTGGTAAATAACATCACTGTTTGTCATCATCTAAAAAATATCTTTATATTTCAAGCTCGTATAAAACATGTGTTGAAGTTTCTAGTCTGGAGAGGACTAAACATGCACAAAACTCGAGGTATCTAAAATTTCAAAAAGCTGGCTCATATCTCTATGTATTTGTCCACCTCATCTCTCTTATGGAGGCTCCAAGTATCAAAAACAACCAAAGCACTCGCCCCACCATGCAAATGAAACAAAAACTTTATTGTTAAAGTTAAACGCTTCTCTTCCCTCCACCTTGGCTATTTTTTTTTTTTTCGTAAGTTTCTTACTTTGGGGGGCAAGTTACAGTTTTAGTGGGTAAAAGATTTTTTTCCAAGAGGTGAAAAATATGTGCATGTTTTCTTTTTCTCAAAAAGAAAAACAATTACTTTCATCATAACCCAACCAATTAATATCTATCTACCGCCTAAACATAAAAATTAAAAGTAAAAAATGCATACACTTTTCTTTCCTTTTCCTTTTGAAATAAAAACAAAAGCATCTGTGTCAATGACTTTCATCTTTGGACAGTGACATTGTGAAAAATATAAAATAAACTTAATACTCCAAAATACTAAACCCTTCTTGTCATAACAGGTATAGGGTATAGATTCTCAAAAGAAGGTGTGTGGTATAGAGAATGTTAATATGGAAGGAAAAGAGAGAGAAAAGGAAAGGAAAATGTCAACTTTTTATCAGATGCTAATCTTGAAAATCTTCAGTAAAATACCATTTTAACCTTAATAGAAAGAAAAGGCATCAAAGTCCAATAATTGCAGCATCTTTAATGAAAGCGAAATGTCCCAGACTATACCAAGTATACCATGAGTTAGGAATTGCATCATGATGCAACTACAATATGGTCCAAATTAATAATAGAATTTACCATGAAAACAGCAGCAATTATAAATTTTTTTTTTGAAAAACTAAGCATTTTAGCATAGCTAGGTTTTAAAAATGGTAGTTTACCGTTAAAACATTATAATACGTGTTGTTTAACCAAAGGATGAGTTGAGAATATAGTTTTGTAGATTAAATAGAAAAAGGAATATGTACTAGCCTTGGTTCACTAATTATATTTGTTAATAAATTTTACATGCCAACAGCAATGGGTTAGAGGTTCAAGAATATTTCAAGGTATAAAGCGTGTCAGGGGAAAATAGTGATAAGACTCAAATTCCTTCTGAAAGCTATCTTTTCTTCCAAAAAGAAAAGATGCCCATCACATCAATTTTTTATTTAAAAATTCAAGTTAAGAAAAGGTCTCTAAGGCTAAGGAATTTCAGTGAGCCAGCCAAATGCAAAATTATCCTCTACTTGGGACCCAACATCAGGTTCATACTAGATGATCTTTCTACCAAATTTTTTTTTTATATTCTTATACTCTAGGATCTTCATAATTTCTAATCATGTCTAGAAATTTGCTATTATTTTGCCTATTCTTATACACAGTAGCATTGGCAAATCATAATTCAGGAAAAATCTTGAACTACTTACTGTTAGGCATGTTCCTTTTAATAAAAGTATTCCTTCCAGCCACAAGCTTTTAACATAGCCAAGACCTTTTAGACTCTGGTCTTGATCCAAGATAAAGTCATGATTTGGGACCCAAAGGAGACATTCTTTTCAAAAGAATTTAGCTCAGCCGAAACTTTACCACGCTGATCTATTGAATCTACAGTGTCTTTATCCAAAACCTGCCTTCCCCCTAATATTTGAAAAAAATCAAATTTTGGCTTTCCTTACTGGCTGATTAAATTATTATACATGCAATACTCGTACGGCTGAGGCTGAAAAGTTATTTCATCCCGGGTTATCTTTCAACTTCCTCATAAAATGCACGTTTGATACTCATAAAATGTACTTTTTCAATATATATCTCGAAAATATATAATTGCCTAAAGGAAAATCTCTGAAAATCTCTTTCGCAAGATATTTTTTGCATGAAGAAATTAAAATTCAACTAGATTTTATGCAGGGCAGAAAGCTTCTTATATTCTGAAATTGTGTTTCAAAAAGTCATTTACAAAACCTAACTTTTCTGAGATTATGATGCTCCTTGGGGGCTGCCAAAATAAAACTAAACCCTTTAGTTCGATTTTTCTTATGAAAGAGTAACATTCCTTCTTAGTTTAAGCCTATTCCTGTTCAGAAGCTACTATTTTCAAGAGCAGTGACAGTTTCCCATTAAGCACACACACACAAGAACCTCGCACTCATTTATTTCACAAATCAACAAATGAATGCAATTTGTGTTCCTGAATGGGAAAATGAAATAGTTGATTGGGGGGTAAAAAATGTGTGGTCTTTGTGCGTTTGCCAGACAAATAGAACTGCTCTTTGTTATAGTGACAAAAGCATCCTCTATCCTTCATAATGCATCAAAAGATCACAATAAATACAAGAACAAAAGAATTATAGTCAACTCTCCCTCATGTTTGCCAATTCGTGTTTTTTTGTGTGACAAAAACAAAGATTAGACAAGGAAACAACTCAAATAAATGACAAAAGAAAAAGAGATAAGGAAATGACTTTATGAATGTATTATAGAAAAGTTAAAAAACGACAATTAAATCTACAGAAAACATGAAGATATTATTAATTTGTTGTTGAGAAATAGTTAGATCTATAAAAAAAAATAATATAAAGGTATATTTGTCAAGATTAGAAAATAATTTAATATGTTACTAGCTGGGAATCACTTCACAGTTCACAGTGAAGCAGCTTTTTCAAATTTTTCTCATGAGAGAGAGAGAGAGAGAGCCTGGGATTAGTTGAACCATTTAATTCGTGTTGTTAACAAAAAGCCTAATGCAGGCGAAACTTCTCTAAAACTAAAATATTAGGAGAACTCTTTTTGTTAAAAAAAAAAGGGGACTCTCTCTTGAAGACTGTCAGACCTGGTACCACGTTGAATTCAGAAATTTGAAAGCAAGTGAAGCAATGGTAAAGTAAGGACATTTTAAGAACAAGACAAAATACTACAGACAAAAACCATTTGAAGCATACCTGGCGCTAGCAGGGTAAGCACAGCCTGAGTAACCTGCAATGAGTCACCAAGAAGAAAAAGGTAAAAATGGTTAGTTAAAGATCATTTTGTTCAGCCTCCTCATTTTTAATTAGTACATATAGATGGAAGAACTCAAAAAATTGCTGAAGAGGAGGTTGGCTCACTGGGATCGGATGCAGAAAGGGTTGCTGTTCCAGCAAAATCACAAGATCCCGGAGCTTGTCCCTTCTTTTGGAAATAGCTGTTTACAGCATAATTGCAATGAGCCCTAACCGTGTTGGGGTTGAAGCAACCTCCATTTGAATGGATAGGGCCACAGTCAGCCCCAGCTCCACAGGCATAGTCCAATGTCTTCTGCAACACTGGATCAGCACCTTCCTTGCAAACACACCATGCGGCACCTACCAACCAAAAATCCCCACACAAATAAACGAAGAAATAAGCTTATTATATATATAGGTCTTAAAATTACTGCTGAGGGAAAACAGAGCTGGAAATCGCCATTGGACTCTACTTTAGCAAAAAAAAAAATCAAATACAGTCCTTGATTATACATAAATCTAGCTCTTGTTGAAAACTCGTGCTGTTTGAAAGCTAAGAAACAAGAAGCAAAATCTGGAAAGAAATTAGTGATGACTGAAGGAACCACTGTAAAACCCTCATAAGACTCCCCCCAAAGGGCGTACTGAGAAAGAACAACAGAAGACTCAAAAAAGGAAAAAAAAAAAAAAAAAAGAGTAACGAAAGAGCTTAACAGTGTCATGTAATATTCTCAAAGCAAGTGATATGAGAGGAAGAGGAGAATGAATGTCTTCAAACCCACAACAGCTAAGATGGGAAAATAGAAGAATAGACAAGTCTCAGCAAGTTAAGATTTATTTTTCAAAAAAAAAAAATTAAATATAGCTATCAAAGAGTTCTGCAAGACAGAGTTAGCAGAGAACAAAAAGGGAAAGAAAACAGAAAAGAGATCCATGTTTACAGAAACACAAAAATCATTAGTACAAAAACCGGAAAGAGAGAAATGTGTTGCAGGAGCTTACTTGAATGGCCGGTCATAGCCAAAATGAGCACTGCAATCACAAGAAGAGCCATGATTAAATCAAGAATGAACGAGTCTTGGAGATAGAAATAGAGTTCAGCTCAACAATGGTGACCAGCAAGAGCTGTTAAAATCACCATAGAGGGAACAGAGAGAAGAGGTTAGGGAGTTAGTGGTATTGGAGAGTGTGAGAAAGGATAGATGGAGAGAGAAGAAGGAAAGAAAGAAGAGAATATGTAGAGAAAATAATACTCTACTATACTACTAGTACGAGTGATATGTAAGAGAGTGGTGATAGTGGGAAGGCGGTGGCCCACCAGTTCAGCCTCTTCGTTTGGTGTCGGCTTCTGAGTTGTAAGTGCTTTTTTGTTTGTTGCTTAGGGCTTACCACTTTGTTCTTACTTTACTGTCTATCACAAGTAGCCATTTACTTTGATGTGTGTGTGGTTCAAATTTGAAAAACTATTAAGATATATACGTTTCATCTTTATGTAACGTTACTAAACTTGTATGTATCTATATTGTACTCGTGGTATTATTAAAATTAAGTGCATAAAAAAACGAGTTTTAATTCACTCGAATTTAATATCAGCATGTAAAGAATATTAATAGTGTTTGCACTTAATTATCTTTGAATTAATAAATAGAGTTGTTTTGTGATTCCAAAATTAATATTTAAACCATAAAATAACCCATGTAAAAAAAATAAAGATAAATTTTTGGTTTTTTTTTTTTTTAAAAAAAAAAAAGAGTAAAATGACAAGAGGACAAGTTCAATATAGCAAAAATAATAATATAATAAATTGGAAATAAATTTTACTATATTTATTTTTTTTATGAAATATGAACTTGAATTTAGTAAAGCAAAAAATAACGATAGTACAAATTCAAAGTGGATTTCATTATATTTAATTCACAATTGTTCCTATAAAAATACGAATTCGAAATGGATTAAATCCAAACCATTTTTACTGTTAAATATTTTGACAGGGAGCCATTATTTCAACTTCAACCATCTTAGCTGGCAGTGGAGCCCACGCGGTGTCTCTTCTTGCCAACCATTATGATGTCCTTGATACTTTTGTTTAGCTTTTTCTAATATTATATACCAACTCTCAACATAAATTATAATCGTTCTTAATTTCATAAATTATTTTACTTTGTGTTATATTTATTATAACTTCTATTCAGAGTTACAAATATTCTACATTTTAAGTACTAATTATAAAAAAAAATATATTAAAATTTTATATTGATTATGTATGTTAATTTATGGTAGTGTAATATAGTATCAAAGTTAACTTATTATAATTTTGATAATTATTTAATAATTAATATACAAAAATAAAGTTTTATATGATAAATACCAATAAAAATTAAAAAAAAAAAAACCAACATGAATAAAGGATTATAATGAATTTTATTTTTATTATTTTAGAAGATATATAGTAAATTTGGTTGTATAATAATATCATTTTCTTGTGTTTTTTTAATTTGAATTTTTCCCTTTTTGTTCTTTGTTGATATAAAAAGATATTGAGAAAACAAGTTAAGATAGAGGTTCACTTTTTATTGTTGCTTTTTTTTTTATATATATATATACTTTTTAATCTTAAATCAGGATTGATGAATTTAAAATAATTGCAAATATTGTAACATATTTTTAAATTTAAATCCAAGGCCTAAAGTTATATTGTTAGTTTTTTATTGGGCCAATCAAGTTATTCGTGAAAGAACCAAAAATAATAATAATAGTATCATACTAAATTAAAGGAGATCGACGATTAAAAGTAAACTAGTAAGAAATTTTAATTAAAATATAATGATTGATTCAAACATAAAATTTATTTAATAAATACACTAAGCCTACTTAATAAAAAAATTATCTTCGTTGTTTGCTTTATTTCTCACTTTGTAGCTAATTTATAGTTTTAGTTTTTAATTATCACTGATATTCATAATTATCATATATATATATATATATTATATTTTAATTATTTCTAAATATATCCTAAGATTATGATGGTAGAGTATAAATTTTATATACATATCATGACAACTGACCTTATATACAAATCAATTTCTAACTAATGCACTTTATTATAAAAATTAAATAATTTGAGTGAATATCTCTAACTTTATATACAATATAACATTTTAACATTATTTAAAAATTATCATTTTATAAATAAGCTAAGTTTGATTTATAAAATTATTTATTTAGTCAAAACATCTCATCAATATTAGTTATAAAGAAATAAGATAAGGAAAGTAATACAAGAAAATGGGACAACTCAAGGGAATCAAAATTTTATCTTTTCAAAAGTCGGTTCAAGACTAGGAATTGCCGCAGCATGGATGTTGGAATCGGATTGGCATTTTAGAGTTTAATAGAATTTTCTACTTCAATAAATTAATCAATTTAAAGGAGTTTGAATCATAAAAGATAAATGAAACTAAAATGAGAAAGAATTCATATTCCTAACCGAATTCTTATCTTTAATTTTCTTATAGACAATGTTAAATTTATACTACAGTTGAAAAACCATTTAAATCATCTTTAACTTTATTTTTACAAAAATAATTAATTAAATATTCAAGATCAAAATCAAGTTCAAGACTACATGAGTAATTCAGCCACAACACCACTATTTTTTAAGAGATAAGATTTTTTATTTAATTATATTTATACTTCTTATAATTTTTATTTGAATAATCAATTAGATAATAGTGTTATTGAAGTTATTATAGGATTTAGTTTTTGAATTCAAGTATAACTAGTAAGGCTTAGGCCTATATAAATGTCTAACTCCTTATGTTGTAGTCATTGAAGTTTAAGATCAATAAAATTAAGTTTTTACCTTTAATTAGTCGTTGGCTAAGTTGCTCTTTCGGGAAGGTTTCTTCAATATTCTTGTTGAGTAGAGAATTAATGTTTACTTATCAAAATAACTTCTGATATTTTCATCAATCTGTTTTATTAAATTAATTTTAACTTATCAAAATATTTATTGTAAAATTTTAATCAATTCATTTATCGAAATTACGTTGTTTATTAATCACAGGTTGACTGTGGATTAAGAATATATTATTTGTTTAGGGATTATATTTTTATGTTAAATTGTATATTAGAGTTTTTGATCATATTGGTTAATCTTGTATTCCGCATCAGAATGCCACAACTCATTTTTGCTGGCTTAATTTTATGTTTGGGCTTTATACGTTGCATTCACAAATCGTCATTTGTTTATTTCAACTATATTATAATATATATAGTAATTTTATTTTAAGTAAAAGTTAAATTTTAAATATCAAATTAAAATTAGAATTGAGATAATTGTGTAACACCCTAAATTAGTTTTTTTTTTTATTTTATAATTTAGGATTTTATTATAAATATAATAAAATAATTTTTCAATTTTCTTTATTTATTTAGAGTAAAAATTGAAATAAAATTGATGGAGGATTAAATTGAAATTGGAGAAAATGAGTGAAAATCTGGGTTATGGGGGTATTTTTGAAAGAAAAATAAAAAATCAGTGGTCAAAATATAATTTAGAGAAGTTTCGCCACGTCAGACGTCCGGTCAGCTGGCCCGATGAATCAGGACGTGCTGCGTGGCAGCAGACGCTGATGCGGTACCACGCGGGAGATCAATGTGCCTGCGATCGAACAACCCAGATGCGTTCTCTCCCCAAACGCAATCAGACGGTCAGATTTGAATGCGATCGGACAGTCAGATTTGAACGCGATCGGACGGTCCAAATTAGATCACGATGGACAGCCCAGATTCACTTCCTATTTAATTACGATCGAACGGTCCATATTAAATGCGATGGACAGTCTAGATAAAAGCGGACGGATATAAATAATCCCTATTCGCACCAAACCCTAACCCTAGACGTCAAACCCCCTTACCGGAGAAGAAGACCTGGTCGCCGGGAAGGAGACTGCCGCCACCCGTCGCCGCACCGGAGCCCTTTCCGACCACCAAAAAAAGTAAAAAAAAAAAAAACTTGCTCGAAATTCAATTTTAAACACACTCATGGCCAAATCAGAGTAAAAAGACCGGGTAATTGGCTGAAAAATGTGGGCAAAGTCAGGCGGCATCGCTGCAGGAAATTCCACAAAACGCCTCCAATGAGAACCTACCCGATTTCTGTTATGCGTAATTTTTCCACCATTGTGATCATCGTTTCCTTCTCTACAGGTTGATCAGAGCAAAACACCCAACCGCAACATGAGCCGAAGCAGCCGCTGCACCGGAGAGCCCCGCTGCCGATGAGTTTCAATTTTTTGTATTTTTTCGGCCAATTGATGCCCTTTAACGTGTTTTCTCTTAGGGATCGATCAGAATAGGTCAAATTCGGTAAAAAATGGTAGAAAACAGCCGATCTGAGGCGGACTGCCGCCGTGGACAGAAACACCGTCATCAAAGCACAACGAAGTCGTCGTGTCGGAATTCTAAAATTGGCCAAGTGGGCCCTATGACTAATTTTGAGTTTGTTTGGGATATTTGTAGGTACTATTAACGCGTTTTAATTCCCAGAAAAAAATTTAGGGAACATAAGAATCACTCGTAGGCGCAGTCGAACAGCTTAGTTTTTCGGGCATCAAATCAAGTAAGGATTCCTCACCTTATTTTCTATTATAGAATTGAAGTCTAAATATATGATAATACAATATTTGTGTGAATTTAGAAAATATGCATAATTAATTATTGATTGTTAATGGAGACAGAACCGAAAATTCTCTAATGTTGCTTTATTGATTGTTTTACAATTTAAATATATGGTAGTACCTTATTAATTGATTTTATGGCTTTGAACGTATGTATGGTTCATTCTATGTGTTACTGCTGAATTGGAAAAAAAATGAAGGTTAAATGGTAAAAATTGTGTGATGAAATGAATAGATAAAACAGTAGCTTTACTGAATATCCTGGGAGATGGTGGACGGACCAGATACATAAGGAACCCTACCGTGAACGTTGTCTCATACCGGACATGGTATAAAAACTTGATAATATGACGCTCATACCGAATGGAGTATTGAGGTTTGGTAAATTGACACTCATACCGAACGGGGTATGGGTGTAACGACCCCAGAAATTTAAAAAAGAAAT